ACTGTGCTGTCGTCTGGGTTTTTTGGATTATTCACACCATAGCCAAGGGTGGAAGCCAGATTAATAGTATGAGTGGTGTCATCCTCCAGGGAAGTTGCAACCTGAATTCGAATCTCTGTTGTAACCCAATTAAACTCTTCTTGTGAAGCTCTTTGAGCAGTTCACATGAAGTGGGGGCATGTGGGTGATAGTTGTGTCTCCTTGTGCTGTGTGTTTGCTTGTGCAGGGACTTTGTTGTGCTGTTGAGGAGACTTGAGACTTGTGCTGTTGAGGAGACTTGAGACTTGTGCTGTTGAGGAGCCTCGGAGAGCATCACTTAGCCTAAGTGTTTCGCTTAGCCTAAGTGAGTTGATTAGTATGGCTTAGCCTAAGTGTTTCGCTTAGCCTAAGTGAGTTGCTTAGTATGGCTTAGCCTAAGTGTATTACTTAGCCTAAGTGTTTCACTTAGCTTAAGTGTATTGCTTAGGCTAAGTGGATTTTCGAGCACTTAGCCTAAGTGAAAATTTGTGAGGGACAAATCACGCTACCCCGACTACAGTACTGTACCCTGTTTTAGGGTTTATTAGGATTCTATGCATAAATCCTTCTATACCCTACTCAGTAATCGAGAGGATTACTATAAATCCCGGCTTCCCCGTATTCACGATTATTTCTTATTTGAGGCTTGAGACACACTTCTGCAGTCTTCGTAGGATGGTGTACTGTACTCAGTACTGCGAGAAGCACCCTTTACAGGTACCGGTATTTATAACCGGTACGCCTGTTCCGAGTACAGTACTCTGACTCAGTATAATTGAAGTTGTTGTAACAATGACTGCTTATGTCCAACAACCTCCCTGTGTGCAATGTGCAAGTTCGTATTATTAGTTTGAAATTGAGAATGTCCAAGAAAGGTCGAGCTGAGAGCTCGTGTCTGGGCTGTACTCTGCAGCTTACAGCCACGGTACGGTACTACTAGTATATTAATACTCTGACAGCTACTCTGACTCATTCTTGTACCAATAGCTCTGTAACAGCTTCTGTAACAAACTCCAAGCTCCATGCGGCATCCGGTCGTGCTGCTGTGCTGAATCAGCAGGGTCGAGGGCATCATCTGTCGGACGAGTATTAAGGGCCGACTTGGAAAGCTGAGTCACTTTCCTGATAGAGCTCTCTACTTGTTTGCTCGGAATGGCTGAAGTGGCACCACTGGCAAGCGCTGTGTTGTTTTGCTGGGATGCGTCGACATTATCAAGCTCCTTATTTCCGAGATGGGCCCGACGATCAGAAACCGTATACAGCTCTTGGACTGCTTTGCTTTCCATAATTCACAACGCAAGATGCCAGCCATCCAGCCACTTCTTGCTTGGTATTGAGGAATCGCGTCGAAATCGTTGACTCATCTCAAAGCTTTCTTTCTCCAGCTCACAATGTTTGCGCCTGCAAAAGAAGGAACCACAGCTGAAGTACGCATAATATCTATCATAATTCAGAGATCCGACAACTAAAAACTCATCATGCACGACTTTCCCATCGGCCAAATATGTGTCCGCGTTTCCAATGATCCCTTGGACAAGACCTCGGATGTATCGACGTTGGGATGCCCCGATCTGATGAATCGATGCGAGAGCTCTTTTCGAGAGGCGTTTGGCCGCACCGCGCATAAAGACTCTCCTCCCAGCAGACGATCACTGTTTCGAGTGGTGAGCTTTGAGAGCAACATTGATTGTGCTGGCAACGATAGCGATAACAGGTGGTCCAATGGCGGACGCAGAGACGCATGCCCACCCTCCACCATTGTCACACCCATGAGACTGAAAGAAGATACTGCAAGTCCACCAACCACCATCTACGCCCCTCACCGATCTGATGGAGCAAGAAGGTCACGGCGGCGCACAAAGTGAATTTATTGCAGGCAGGTAAACAGGGACCGACTGCTCAATCAGGAAACAGCTTTTGGCAACTGGCTGCGGTGATATCACTGATTCGAATGAAACCGCAACTGCATAGCTTGTACAAACATAATAAACTTAGAATTCATGTTAGAAAGGAATCCATCAGTCAGTCGATCAAGTAAACCTGTACTCCAATCAAGCAAACCTGAGACTCTATGTAGCTGGTACGCACCATACCACAGCGAGCAGAAGCAGTCATGTTGTCATAACGGTTGGAGTTGATCTGATGTTTTTATTGAAGGCTACTAGCTAGCCAGGTGCACCGGTGAGTCAGTTTCATGCTGTTTGGGGTTGACACTACGAAGAGGTACTGGTAAGTGCAAAACAAAGCTGGGGAGCATGTGGATGTCATCGCCTTTCGCATCATGTGCCGTCCCGACCTGACCTGACGGTGGATTTGTCGTCGTGGATCGAGTTGTCAAGCTTTGTCTGTTCGTTTCGAAGTTAAGGTTAGGGCTGAATCACTGAGTCAGCTTGACACAGTTTACTTTGTGCGAGGCCGACTGCTGTAGCTTCGTCCGATGTTGAACGAGAAGAAGGAAGGCAACAGGAAGAAAGCAATATCAAAACTCTAATACCATCTATCCAATTGCTTTGTATTCCCTCGAGCTATGGATCCGGTTGCACTAATAATATCAAAGAACTGCTTGAGGTCCATTGCTGCACTCCTTCCTTGCTTGGCTCTCTTCTTTCCTTCCTCTGCTGCGTTTCCAACCGTTGCCACAAGGAGAGTTTCCCGAGGTCAACTCTTCACTATGTCACTTTCGAAGGATGACAATTGCTACGTAGCGAATGCTCGTATGGCAGCAGGGCTTGACAATGTCATTCGTTGTGCCTCTACGGATGTGTTGGCAGGCGCTGATACTTCTGGCAGTGACATTGGCACCTTTGATGCGGCGATTCTGAGGCAAGCTGGACTGATATTCGACCTTCGATCACCCAGCGAGCGCAATGAAGCGCAAGCGCAAACTTGGATGTCAACGGTCGCGAATGAACCCTTTGTTGTAAAGGAGCTCGACACGGAAATATCCTACTCCGAAGCCGAGCTCAGTGGGCTATTACAAACCAATCCACGCCTGGTTGTTCGGTTGGATGTCCTCTCGCCCAGCCGATTTATGAGTCATCTGGAGCAAAATTGGTTGACACCCGGCCAAACAATGCAAGCCAATCTCTTCAAGATTGTGGATGGAAACAGACTCCACAATCTACGCATGGAAACTCTCAATTCCAAAGGGCTCTTGGGTTTGAACGAGGCAATTCTGGAAACAGGAAAACAAGGGCTCTGCACGGCCCTGCAACTCATTACGCTGCACTTGGAACAACAAGCCAAGAATGATAATGTGGAAGATAGTAGCCCCAAAAACTTTGATCTGATTGCCATTCATTGTGTTCAAGGCAAGGACCGGACAGGTTTGCTAGTCATGCTGTGTCAAGCTATGATGGGGGTATCGGATGATCATATTATTGAGGACTATTACAAATCACATAACGTCAAAGGTCGTCGCAAGGAACAAAAGACATCCGCTGCCATGGAACGTGCCACCGCCACCACGAGTAATAAGAAGAAAGCTTCTGCTGAAGTCAAGCTGGATCGGTCAATTTTCCACTCGGCTCCAAGAGAAGTTATGCAAGCCACGGTCGAGTACCTACGATCCAACTATGGCTCGATTGCGCCAGGTTATCTGGAACAAATTGGGTTTGATGCTTCGTGGCAACAGAGGTTTCAAGTGGCAGCCTCCGGTAGGAAGGCCCCAGCACTGCTAAGCAAGTTATAGTTGTTCAATAGTCGCACAAGGTAGCTGCGCCAGAGACTTCTACCGTACAAGCTCGTCATGTAGTCGATAGTAGCCTCAAATCTCCCGTTACGGCTATTATATCCCTAATCTATTGTTTGCTTCAGGTGTTTCCCTTCTTCTGGTACCTGCACTTGTGTTTCGCCAGCAACGTATAGCTGACACTTACGTAAAGCTGTCCTGCAGCGCAAAGCATTTCAGATTCCCACACCCAAACTCTGATCCAATGACGTAGTGTGTGTATCTTCCCCCGCCTTGGTACACACACTACTTTGCCATTGTCTTTCTTTGCACTGCAGTATTCATTCTAAAGGATACAGTATGTACTGGTAGTCACTACACCACCAGACTCGGATCGAAGGGTGGCACGCACTTGACCGAAGCACCTCCGTTGGGTTGTCCACACATGCAAAATTCTCCCAAGCAGCACTCACCAATTTTTTCGTTGCAACCAGCATTTTCGGCACCTCCTACGGTTTGGATACAAAAGACAAAACCAGAGGACTGAAAGTAATCGGTGCCCCAGTACCAACTGCCACCGGAACAATGGTTTTCGCCGAATCGGTTACCGGGGGTACCCGGGGTACCCGCGGCGGGGGTACCAGCAGCTGGAGTGCCTGCAATTACGGTGGATGAAACCGCCGTACCGGGTGTGTTTCCGGGAGCTTCTTGGGCAGAGAGAATCGGTCCTGGGGCTGCTGGGGTTGTTTGTGGGGCCGGTTGACCGGGGGCTGGTTGACCGGGGGTAGCTAGTGGGGTTGCCGGTGGGGCAGGTGCCGGCAACGGGACGGGTCTGGGTGCACCTCCAGGACTCGTGATAGTAATACCAACCACCACGGCTCCCACGTTGGTATCATATCCCTGCGGAGTACCGGGTGCTTCAAACGTACTGCTGACAAAACCCGGGACACCTAGCTTATCCTTGCTTTTGCTGTTATCTTTGCTCTTTTTTCGGACGGCAAAAACTTGCAGATCTCGGTGTTGTTCTTCAATCACCTCTTCGGGGGTTTGACTGTGTGTGGGTGGTGGTGTCCAGGACATGGTGTTTTTAGTATTGTTGTTGTTGTCTGTAATGGTCCACCCTGTGTACTGTCCAGATTCCCGAGTGTTGTTGTTGCAAACACAGGGGAGGTGACGCAAACCATCAGAAGCGTCGCAAAAGAGGGACGTGTGAACGCGGCAGCATCCACCATTGTTGCAGCCACCCTCTGACTTGCATTCTTGGTGGGTATATTCGTTATTTCTCTGATCGGAGCCAAGATCAGCAAACGCAATACAGTCGGACCGTTCAATCAACCCCTTCTTTATAATCTGGTGCTGGATACCATCACGATCGTCATCCAGAACCACAAGGTCACCTTCGCGCCTCAAACGAGGTGGAGTCTTCACACCGTCGACTGCAACCAAGAGAAGCGAGACAAGCACAAGACTAGAAATAGACAGGCGCAACATTGTTGCTGGTGGGAGACCCTTTGATCAGCAAATGGCTGATAGCTAGCTCTAGCTAGCAGTTCTTCCTCTCGTCTTCTTTCGCTCAAATGATAATGCAGCAAGAGTGACGGAGTAACGGCTTCTCCTTCTTGGTGGCAGCGTCAAACTGAGAAAAAATGAGGTGCAGGTACCGGTACCATGTGGGACCCTTCGGGTGCCATCCATTCATTGCGTCAGAGTGACACTCCCACTACTAAGAACGCTACGTAACAAGTTCACTCCGCTGAAGTTTGTTTAAACACATGCGTGGAGGGAAAGCAGGCAGAGATAATATTCGATGTACTGCACGGGGAATTGTCGAATATTCGGATGAAAAGTGAAAATTAGTATCGACAAATCAACTCTGACTAGCTGATGCTCTACACTTTTTAATAAAATAGTTAGACTTCTTGTTATGAAGAATACCTTACTGCAGTAAAACTCTATTGGGGGCAGCTGCAGGACAGGCTTGACGATGAAGGAAGGACGATCCAGCGAAGGTAACGGAAAAACTGGCAGATGATGCAAAAGCGAGGAAGGAGGAATTCAACTTCACGGAAGCTTCTGGTTCGTGGGATCTAGAATGGAATCACAACCTCTCTCATACTGGAGGCAATCTGTCGGTAGCACCTTCTGAACCGGGGCGACTGGTGGCACCCACTCGAACAAAGAAATGCCTGGTTTCGCCTGTTTCCTTGAGGCCGGCGCTGGACGCGGCTGCCATGTAGGAAAATGGGCTGATCACTCCGGTGGCTTCGCAGTTACCCAGGGTGACGCAGTTATAAACCACGTAGTGTCCAGAAACATGAGATCCATCCAGGATCGTGTTCTTCCGAAATGTGAGATAAGGGGCATCATAAAACTCTTCTCCCATGTAGAGGACGTGCCCCTCCCCTTGAAACCTGGCTCCCAAGAATCGCCAACAGATGTTGAACCACGGTGTGCCCCACAGAACGGGAAGAACTGACCAGGTTTGCAGAGCCCAATTGGCGGTTACGTAGACAGCATACAAAGGCACACTCCATGGTTCCCGTCGCTGGTTTGACATGCCGTAGGTTGCAAGCTGGATCACCTTTAGCACTGCCAGGGATGAAACCAAAAACAGAGCGCAGGCGGCCAGGAACAGCAGAGGAGTGTACGCCAAGCCCGGGGAAACGTTGGTGACCAACTCATACGTTGGAAACATGCCAATCGTCAATAGTGCCCACAAAAGAATGTAGAGGATGTCAACCTGCAGAGACCGAACAAGATCCTCTACCAGCGGGACATCCTTGGCGTTTTCATTCTTGGTGACATTCTCGGTGATATATCGAGCCGGAGGGATGATGGCATTGCGGCATTTGACACCGGGCCCCACCACGGTATTGTACCCAATGGAGCTATCTTCAATCACAGTTTGAAGGAAAAGGTTATCCGATTCTGCTTCAAACGCCACCTTGGAAACGACAGATCGCTTGACCTTGACAAGATCAACCAACGATGGTGGAAAGCTGATGACAAGAATCTTGGACTGGAAGTCGACGTCCATGCCGTAGAGCATGAGCACCAAGTTCCACATTTTCGAGTTGCTGGAGATTGAAAATAGCAAGAAGGTGCTCAAGCGGAAATGGTAGTCGGCGGCCCAGTCGGCGAAGAGTTGCAGCTTGCACCTTTCAGCGGACCCTGGGTGCCTCTTGCGGATCAGGAGCCACTTGAGCAGGATACTCGCAGCCAACGAGAGGATCTGGACAATGAAAAGCAGGAGAAGGAAGGAGACAAGCGGGGAATAGCGCCAAGTCGGCAGAGCCATGGCTTCGAGCACTGCCTCGGCGCCCAGAAAGAAACCCAAGTGGGCGTAAAGCTCAAACACGAGCCAAAGAGTCTTCAAGAGGTCAAATGTTTGAGTTCCGATGGTTTGGCTGAGCCAACAGCCACCGACGGGTTTCCTTCCATTTTTGAATTCTCTGGAACCTGACCGCCCTCCGGGACAACCGCGCGCCTCTCAACGAGAGTACCTTTGCCCACCTTTGTTCCTGGAAGCAGAGCTCCTCGAATCACTGCCCCTTTTTCGCTGCAGATCGGGCGAAAGCGAAGTGAAAACTCTCCTTTGGTACACCCTTGTGATCGCGTGGAAAACAGACGACATCGGAGGTTTTGCTCGAGTACACAGTCTTCTTCGATCTTCACCAAATCGAATTCTCTCGCGAATGCCTTGAGCTGCGCGGATGGATGGATTTGGGCTCCAAGCCAAGAATAGTACTGTCGAAGAATGGGCGTATCGATGATGAAGAAGCCAACAAAAAACTCCCAGAAATGGATCAGACGGTCAACCATCCAAAAGCAAATGTACGAGCGGGAAGGAATGTTGACTTGGCGTGCCTGGTATTTGCCAATCAAGACATACTTCCACAGGAGAACCAAGAAAGAGTACGTGACCATCCAAGCTGGGATGATCAGGGGAATCAGCAACGGCTCAGCAAATTGCGAGTTCAGCTGCCTAGATAAGTCCACACACCAGGTATGCGGGTACAGCGGAGACGGCAAACATGAGGAGCACAAGTGCTGCCCCCAGCAGCTGAATGAGAGCCATCAGCTCCCAGCACATCGAAGCGCTATCCTTTGGAAGCTTTGGGAGCTCAATCGGAATGCCTTGATCTTGGTTTTCTTGGAGATAAGCCCGGAGATCATTGGGCGTCGGATGTCGATGAAAACAGTCCTCAGGAAGGTTTGTTGACAAGGCAGCAGAGATAGATTCCTGTAGCTCGAGCGCACTCATCGAGGACAGGCCCATATCCTCCCAACCGGCTTCCCAGCGAAACGACTGACCAAAGAACTCACGGAGGACTTGCCCAAGCTCATCGATCTCTTCAAGCTCCGACGGCATGCAATCAACAAACTCCGACAAGTCCTCCATGCGCTCTGTGTCGCCACGACCTTTCGGAAGGTCGCAGATCTTGGCCCCGTTACCGATACGGGGCTCCTCTTCTTCCTTTGCCCTGCGCTCAAACACAATGTCCAGCTCTCCTTCGTGAAGCCTGCGCCTGTTTTCTCTCCTTCTGACCTTTCCTGAAGTGGTCTTCGAGATGCTTCGCTCTTCGATGGCAACAATTCGCGATGCTCGAACACCGGAAACTTGGAAGATTCCATCGTAGACTTCCTCCGTTGCCTTCTCCGCTTCGGACTCAAAGCACTTTCGGATCTCGAATACAACTTCCACTTCTCCATCGTTTGTAACGTCATCGGAGGAAAATGCGGCAACGCACCCAGGGCGAACGGATTTGCAGGATTCCTGGGAAGCCTGTTCGAGGTCCTGAGGGTATACGTTAGCCCCCCTTACTATTATCAAATCCTTCATTCGCCCGCAGATAAAAACCTTATCGTCCTCGTAAAACGCAAGATCTCCAGTGCGCAGATATGTTGTGGGGGATGCGTTGCCTTCGTCGGAAGCAAGCACTGCCCTGAAGACTGCAGCTGATTTCTCTGGCTGACTGAAGTAGCCTGCGGCGACACACTTGCTATTAATCCAAAGCTCACCAATAGTACCATCTGGCACTTCCACCTTGGTGTTTGGATCTACCATTTTGATAACTAATCCCGGAGCAAATGACTCTCGGATCCCACATGCGACAAACTGATTTGGCCGGTCGTTCGTTGTGGACGACAACTGATAGTCTGTGATATAACAGGCGGCGACACAGTGTTCAGCCAACCCGTATGCTGCCATGAACCAAGTTTTGGGCAAGCCATAACCTGAGAAGGCCTTCTCGAACTGTTGCTTCGTATCCAAATGTATGGGTTCTGCGAATCAATCGATTTCATCAAAATGAGTGAACCAAGTCTTACCAGCAGTTTTTAATACACAACTGGCAGAGCACGTACCTGCAACATTGGACATATGATGGATGCAAGAGAGGTCGAGCGCTGGTACGTTGCTCCCCTGTTTGGCCACTTTCTCTTGCCACTTTCGAGCAGTGAGCTTGTAGGCGAAGTTTGGAGCCGAGCTCCATTTAACTTTGTGCTTTGACATGAGCTCCATCCACAAAGTTGGCTTCCTGACAAATGTGATTGGTGACATGCAGTGCATTTGCCAGCCTGCTGCAAACTGAGCAATACCACAGTAAATGAGACCCAAGCTGTAGCAAAGCATCGGAAGCAGAAACAACCGAGTTAGTGCATCACATAGACACAGAAAGGCTGAGGAAGACAGCACGCAATGGCTGAGCTGCCGGACTCACTCGTGGTACTGGGGCAGCCAACTGAAGCCTGATCTTTCCTCTGGTGGAACGAATCCATTCTGGGCCATGCCTTTGTTGAACCCAACTATGATAAGCTCAACGTCCGCCTGCAAGGCAGCAAAAGTGATCATGACGCCCTTTGGTTCTCCAGTGCTTCCACTGGTATACTGCAAGAATGCTACTGCGTCATTGTCCAAATCTTCGTCAAGAAAGTCGGTGTTTGGAACCTTAAGAAGGAAAACGCGGCATTGGACGTGTTCTTCCTCAAGCGAAGCCGTGTCGTGTCCTTGAAGTGTAGAGTTGGCCACAGGTGGCGACTTTTTGACAGGGGATTGGCAGAGTCCACGCGCTTGTAGAAGAGGATATCAGAATCGCATAGGATGAGCTTGGCAGCGCAATCCTTGACCACTGCGTTCATCTTGGCTAACGATTTGATGAGAGGTGGGGTTGGTGGGTAAACGAGCACGGCAACTACACCCGCTCGGAGGCAACCAAGGAAAGTAGCAAAGAAGTGGAGCCCAAAGTTGTAGCACAAGACAACGTGATCGCCCTTCTTCACCTCCCATTCCACCCTAAGGTGATGGGCAATTACACCAGCTTCTCGCCATAACTCATCCCACGTGTATCTATCGGTCTCTTCCCCTTCATTGTCGTACCAAAATGCATACACACGGTCCTTGTTGGCAGCCACTACATCCTTGAGCTCCTGCAGGAAGTGACGGCTCTCGCCATTCTCAACATCGTGAACACTGAGCTGGCGGCTGCTGCAAGTTCGACTGTGCTCACGAGTAGGTTTCATCTTCTTATCATGGTACATCATTGCTTATTTTGCTTCTGATTGGGAGCAGGGTTTGCACTTTTGAGTAGTGCGAGTGTACAATGTGCAATGTGGACCTGCTGTGTGGATTGAATGGATCAATCGGAATGATGATGAGTCTTCTATCTGCGCTTTGGTGCGGTTGCGGTTCCGGTATGCCTGTATTACGGTACTGTACCGGTACCAGTACTTGCTGGATGGCTGGATAGAGGAGGCAGAGTAATCCGGCCACGCCACCAAAGACTGGAGAACACAGCGGAACTTAATAAAAAGTACCGGTACATCGTACGATACTGGTTCTTTTGTTAGGAACGAGAACGCCTGGTTTGTATCTAACGGTCGATCCTGTAGACCTTACCCGCAGGCGACAGAAATATGACCATACAGTTTACAGGAGCAGAGTGGAGTTGACTCAAGACATTTACATTTTGAGATTCTGGGATTCCTCCTTCGTTTTCCCACACCAATACCTGTCCCGTGCATCTCACCAAGCCTCAATAATTTGACTCAAGACGACTCAAGACATTCACATTTTGTGAGATCTGGGATTCCTACTTCGGTTTCCCACACCAATACCTGTCCCATGCCACTCGCCAAGCCTCACTCCTCTCTCCTCCCCGCCCCCACCCTTACTCAGTGGTGCATGGCTACCGGTACGTTAATGCTCGGCTCAGCCTCCCAATTCTGTGAACCCACCACCTTTGTGTTCGAGGCTCCTGTATCCCTGCTGGAACAAGAGCTATTGGTGTTCCCTCTGGGAT